TAAAATAAGCAATCTCCCAAAAATCCGGCCTAAAATCGGATTTAAATTGACTTCCTAATTAACAATCGAAATATTACCATAAATAGTAAAAAATAACTAAATCTAGTGATTCGGAGGGGAAAACGGCAGAATTTGAGGTTGAAAAAAAGGCCACATGGAGCATAGCTCCATGTGGAGAGCGTGCGCGTCGAAAAGAGCTTTCCGGATTGGGGTCTTATGCGCGATTCTGACACCTGTAGCCAAAGTTATGGCCAAAAGACTGAAACATACTCAAAACGACCCCAATGAGGAACATGTCACAATCAATTCCCGCCTTTGCGCTGATCTGCCAACTCATGGTATCTCAGCGCCATCAACGTGCAATCTGACAGCTCAGCATCATCTGTCTCGGATCTCCCTGCATCAGGAGCTGCTGGGAATCTCGAGGACAAGTTCACCGTTTTTGCCTTCGTCTTCCATCGGAATAATGAAACCTCTGAAAGTTGCAGAGCCCGAGTGCTGGGTTTCTTCTGAAGGCAACTCTTCAAGCTCCATTGATGTCATCGTGATTCGAATCTCTTCTATTACTCAAACGAAACCCTACAGAAACATCTGGATCTCTTCACTTATTTAAAGCAAGTGACGAACTTGTTAATATAAATAATGCATATAGACAGAAACGTAAATCCCGACTAAACAATTCATTATGTTGACTGATTATATCATGGAAATTCTCCTTGATCAAGTTAGCCGGTTAGGGGTTTGGAGATAAAGAAAACTGCAGCAAGAACCATGTGTTAGTTAATTATTCCATTTTAGAATATAAATATCTAAAACAGAACTCGTTAATATAAATAAGTTACAATCAAAAATCTTTTTAAATGTATAACTTTCTAGATTTTACAATATAATTAGATTAATATTTTTTAATAATCAAAATTATTATAAAATATATAATTTTTCGACTATAAATCCTAAACTTTTCATTATATAACTTTTTGATTGTAACCGAAAATATATTATAAATATTACAACTTTTTATATTGATTATGATAATATTTTAAATGCTATTTAAAAATAAAAAGGATTCCGGTCTCCTAATGCATAAACAATTTTGTAGCAGACTAGTCGACATCCATGCTGCACAAAACCTGGACAAGGGTTGCTAACTATCAAATTCAATCTAATAATTGTATCATTAAACAACTATTTTGTTGACCCTGTTTTAGATTGACGACAAGTCTCTTCTTTTTTTATTAGTTTAAATTAGGGTAAATTACAAATTGATCATTAAACTTTACTCGCTCTTATTTTACTCACTGACTTTAAAAGTTATAATTATAATAAAACTTAATACTAAAATAAGTGTCTAAATTATATCTCAATTCTTAAATATGTGCCTAAATTATCTTTTGACATATTCAGGTATCTAATGTTACAAACGTTATCATTTTAGGTGATCGGACCGTCAGCGACGCTAATTTCTCCCGTTAAATGACACGTGTCATAATCTAGTGATTTTGAAATTTATTTAAAAAATTATTATATTTATAAAAAAACCTAATTTCTCTTAAATTATAAAAAAGCCCCAAAATACCTAAAATCCTAAAATCCTATCCTTAACGTGTCACTGTTGCCTTTTCCGGCCACGACCACTGCCGCCAATGTAGTCCCTACCATCCTCCTAGTCGTATGCCATCGTAGTTGTCATCGATTGGTCGTCGAGATCGCGTAGGATCGCGATCTTCATCCTAGGGTTTGTTGGGTATAAAACGTCGATTCGCCGTCGATCGGTCACAATTTCATGGGTTTTTTGTCGTCGGGGAGATGAGATCAGGTGGAGCTTTATCGACGGCAAAGGGAGACGATCGACGTGGGTTTAGGGGTTGAAATGAAGGTTTTCAAAGTTTTAGGGTTATTTCAAAATGTTTATGTTTTTCTTTAAAAATATATAATTTTAATTTTGAATAAAATTTTTAAAATCACCAAAAATATGACATGTGTCACTTAACAGAGAAATTAATATCATTGATGACCCAAGCACCTAAAATGATAACATTAGGTACCTGGATAGTTCAAAAATAGTTTAAATACCTATTCAAGAATTATAGTATAATTTAGGCACTTATTTTAATATTAAGTAAGAAAATTGAAAAGATTTAAAATATAATAAATGAAATATGAGGTTGAGTAAAACTTCGTCATTAAATTTGTAATTCACCCTTTAACTTACACTAATTAAGCATTTCTGTCAGACTAATCATGCGCCAACTTCTTATTTTATTTTGCACGTAAAGTTTGTTGTTGCGTCCAGGTAATTTACAACAACAATAAAGCTTAAATTATTAAAATAATATATTTTCAACTCCTTTTTACCAAATTAGCAAAAAGATCTTTAATTTTTTTTTTAGAATAAAGACGTGCCTATGTGACAACATCTTTTTAAGAGAAGAGACATTCTTTAAAGAAGTGTATTTATTTACGTGACACACCACTTGAAGTATAAACGTAATTTATATTTTACATGTGGCATGCCATATGGGCAAAGGTGCTTCCTTCGTCCTTGAAGTATGATTAATTTTAGATTAATTTACGATGATATTGTCCAACCTAAAATGTTATAATGCGATGGATTTTAATTTAAAATGTTACATGTCAAATCTAAAAAATATATAATTAATAATAATTTCGGTTACAATCGAAAATATCTTACAACAACTTTTTTGATTGAAACCAAATTTATTATGTTACATGATTTGTAAGGAAAAGGTTTTCAACCCAAAATATTACTATGTCCAACCTAAAAAGTTATGTTCTTGATAAATTTTCTGATTATAATTGATTTTTGTCGTTTTTACCTTTATATTAATATGTTGATATAATTACATTTTGTCGTTTTTACTCTTCCTATCTTACAGTTAAATCGATTATAAATTCAATTTCTACAGTCAATTATCAATTTTTAAAATTATAATCAAACATATTATTATATATATATATATATATATATATATATATATATATATATATATATATATATATATATATATATATATATATCAAAAGTTTATAATTTGTGTTAGATAGTAATATTTGGGTTGTGAAGATTATAGGTAGTTCACCTCTTATGATTTGAATAAAGAGTCGCAACCAGATGTTCATGGTAGAATTAAGAACGACTCATCTTGTTTAGTTCCTGGAGTTCAAAGAAGAAAAATCATTGATGAAGAAGAAGGTCCTCCTTTCCTAGTCTTATATGAAGAGTTTTGTAATGATTCTTATTACTAATCTCAAATTTAAGATTATAATGACTACTCGTAAGTTGACAAATTAAATAATAATGACCGTCTGACAAATGAATCATTTTTAATAAATTATGTGGGCCTATCAATAATCATATAAAGAATAATAATGTCAAAAGAAAACTGATAAAAAAAAAGATTAAGAATATGTAAACCTAGAACTTGAGGTTCACGAAGAAGGGCTCTTGTCGTCGAAGAGAAGGGAATATTATAAAATAGTTTGACCTTGGTCTTACTTGTGACGGCACTTATTGCATTTAATGAACTAATTTTGGGAAAACGTTGCAATGACTACTTTCATAAAATAGTTTGGAATATAGATTATTTCCTCCATCTATTCAATTTGGACTTAACATGAAACACTAAATTTTCTTTCTCTCCGACGTCTTGCTATCAATTCACATTGTCTCTATGAAGAAATCTTAGCTTTTCTTTGAAATTTGTCATTAAAAGGGATGTTACAAAAAGAATTTGGAGAAGGAATTGAGGGTTAATTGTAACACCCGTAAACCGATGTAAAAAAAAATCGATGTCTAATGATCGAGAACTTTTTTCCGACATGTTTATTTTAGTATCTGATAATTCCAAAAATTCTAGTAATTTTGTTTTATATGATGGATTAAAGAATAGTAAGTTTTTTTTATTAAGCTAAGGTGATTACAAAGTAGTATCTGTTCTAAATACTCTCAACCATTTGATATTGACCGCTCAATCACCCTGCTGCAGTCGATGGTGCTCGAACCCGTGATCTCTAGAAATAACAACGATTCTTTTAACCAATGAAGTAAGTTGGTTCTTGCAAATAAGGAGGAAGTAAAATGGCTAAGAATTAATTGGACTATCTTATAGTGCAAGAGGTGGAGAGATAGATGACTAGAGCAATAATTTCACCAACTTTAAATTGATGAATAAAATACTAACTTGTCTTTCAATCATTTTCTTCCAATTAACTCGTAAGCAAAAGAGGCGAGAGGATGAAGTTCGAGGAAATGGGTCAAGCTCTTCATTTTTTTCTCTGCTTGTTTTATTGCATATCAAAGGGGGAAGAGATAATGCTAAGATAAGATAAGATAAGAAACAGGGTGTCAACAGATTCTTGAAATGTACATAAACTTGCAGACAACATGCCTACATTGGCATTTGCCGGCCAATTCCATTATAATTCTAACCACCAACATTCCCCTCTTGGCTCCACATACATGATAACCCAAATCTCTCAGTGCAATTGATGCTCAATCTGTCAATCAATGTATTCCGTTAGCAGCAAATCATCACTTAATTCATGTGGTTGATGGCATTACTTCCATATTGATACTGAATGTGGATCTAAACCACAACAATAAATATATTTCAGGGCCTATTTTACCAGTTACAAAAACAAATACATAAATAACAGTGGCCCACTTCTTGAAAATAAGTTTGCTTGAAGCTGTACCATTTGGCTGTTCATCTTCATCAATTTTCTTTGAGTAAAGTGAAAGACAATTTAAGAGTTCCCTTTGACTGATGCGTGTCAAAATCTCTGCAACTAAAAGATTAAATATTTGATTCTTTTGCTTTCATTCTCAATTTTTTTCTCTTGTGTTAACCCCAATTTGTAGAATGTTAAAAGAAGTGTCATAAAGATTGTGGCAGTGCAGAAGGCAAGAGTGAGGAGGAAAACAGCAGCCAAATGCTGTGTCTTTGAAGAAGGGTATGACATTTAAGCCACCTGGAGAAGACAAAGAGGCCAAAGCCTTTACCTTGGATTTTGCAACATTGTTAGCAGCCCGAGAGTCTTTTGTTTTGGAAGAACTCCCCCATTAATTACAGGCCATAGCTTACTGTGCTGTCATTTTAGTACAAAGTGCATGGTGAGTGGGTTCCTCTTTTTCCTCAATCAGTGAGTGTCATTGCTTCATAATATAATTTGGGTTGGTTTGTTTTTGTTTTCTCCTTCCAGTGAAAGATGGAGGAAAGTGATGAAGGATTGTGGACTGTGGAGTGCTTGAGGGGAAGGCTTCTTGCTGAGAGGCAAGCTTCAAACACTGCAAAACAAGATGCTGAACTTATGGGAAATAAGGTTAAGTTGTTGTAGCCTTTGTTTCAATCGGCTAAAGAAAAAGATCTGATTTTTTTCTTTTGTTTCTCCAACTGCAGCTAATGGAGCTTGAGATAGAATTGAAAGAAGAGATCAAACTAAGGAACAAAGCTGAGAGAAGGCTCAAATTGCTGAGGAAGAAGCTTGAATCCCTCAAATTATTGCCTACTTTGAAAGAATTAGAGCACCGTGCAGTTTCTTGTGCTTCATCCACAAGCAGTTCGAGCACCAAAAACCCAGAAAAAACAGCTTCCATGTCTCAAAAGGCATCAGACACCACTGCATCTATAAAAAGCTTTGAAATTTCTTTCAGCAAAGAAAATTCCAATTCTTCAGGGACTACTAAATCTGATACAAAAGACTCTTCACATGAGAATTCCAGTGTTAAACCAAGTTCAGGCCATGAAGTTCCAAAGGTTAATGACACAAGGTATTTGCCCACATTTATCCTACTGATTTTGCTTTCACTAAATATTTAACTTGATCACTTCATATAATTCATTTTCAGTTCTTCAAGCTTGAAAGCTCCAAGAGTGGAGATCGATAATGAAGAAAATGAGAATTTTGAGGATGGTGGTGGTGATGATTATGTTGATAACTCGTTGGCATTGGTCCCGCTCTTCCTACCAGAAACCAAGTTGGCCCCGGAGATGAAGATAGTCAGCAAACGTATAGGGGAAGTTCTTGAAACTCTAAGGCATGCCAAGGAAAGAATTCAAAGCTCAATGGAAAGAAGACAAATGATTAGAGTAGGGCCATCTTGAATTCATACAAGGTAAACAGTAATTATTGTCGCATTAAGATAAAATAAAACACAGTGACAGATGTTCTTGCATTGAAACATAAATGGGGAGCATAAAGTCTCTTGTACTTAGATTTGCCTTAGATGAAATGGTTTGGTCGGTGCTGAGTTTTCCACTTTTCCTCTAGCATGTGGCGTGAGGATGTTACCCTCCATTGAGTCCATTGGCTCGGTCCCCAAAGCCTATTCATATGCACTTATTTATATCCTTTCACTTAGGTTAGAATCGAGTCCCGGATGATTATAAGATAGTATCTATTTGAAAGAGTCCTAAAAATTTGTCAATGAATGCTCAAACACCCCTCTAGACATCATATTCAAACTTGAGACCACTAGGATCGTTTGGTTTGTGCTTAGAATTGAGTTTGAACGGAAAATCAGGACCTTGTCTGAGTTTGGGTATATTTCATATAGTTCATATTAATTTTACTGATATCTGGTTCAATCTTGGAATTCTTGATCAGCAGTGTAAGTAAATTTAGCTAAGCTCAATGAGTTTGAACCCGAAACCTTAAAGGATAACAACATTTATTGCGCATATAACAATGCTCCGCCAGCTTTTTGACCAGTGTAAATGATGCAGATTAGGCTTGCTTTTGTGGTGTTGAGTGTTGGGGACCATTATATTTGTATTTAATCCCTCAACTTTTGCTACTTTTTTCAATTGCACCTTTTAAATATTTTTCTTGCAAATGAAATTCTAAAGTTTTTTTCTTTCTTTCTTTCGAATAAACCATTTTTAGGTGACCGATTAGTGACCTACATTTTTACTGGTGTGGTATGACAACATTAAGGATGCAATTGAAAAAACAAGAAAACGTTGAGAATTTTTTCGTTTGCCTTTTTTCACTTTTAATTTTATTTTTATGATATAAACTTATTTTTATAATATTGACGGTTTATATAAAAAAAAATGTTATTTGAATGATTATAAACTATAAAAAAGTTATTAAAATATAAACTAAATTAAAAGAAGCTTGAAATTATAAATAATTGAAGTATTAACCATATTCTAATGTTCTTTCCATTTTCTTTATTTTTAAAAATTATTATTTCAATAAAATTTTAATTGATTAACATATAATGTGTTACGCATGTGTTTAAAACTATTAAAGATTATTTTTTATGATTTCTAGCTGTTAGGGCCGTTGGAGATCTAATAAAATCGCTACCTACAAATATAGATAACGTTTGTGACACAAAGGATCGATCCTTCTGTGAAAGATATAAATATTTTTTTTTAAATATTTGACTATTATTAACAGAGAGATCGATTCTTCAATGGAAGAGATTGGTCCTTTTTTTACAAGGGAACGATCATTCGTGAGAAATGATTGATTTTTATAGGCTCTCCTAGAAAGAGATCAATCCTTTTTGGAATTGAGTCATATCAATGACTACTATGATCACAAGCATCGATCCTTCTGAAAAAGAGATCAATCATTCGAGTTAAAATTCTTTAAAAAAAACTCAACTTTAAAGTGCAAAAATAATTGAGTATGTATTTGAAAAAGTTCGACTAAGTCATAATATATTTAAAACGTGAACTATAATGATGATGATAGAGGAAATGGGAAGCTGAAACTATCAAGTTGACATTGGATCACTCGAATCTTTTCACTAAGGGAGGTTTAACGAGCCTTCATCTTATCTCGATGAGTCATCATCTCGTTAAATCGAGAATTCACATGGAAGTATAAGAACTAAATGCTTGCATCATTGACTCGTGAAGCTTTTATATGGAGATATCATGTGGCGCGACGTCCTCATGGTCACCATAAGCCTCATCCATGGTCCCATCATCATGATCTGCCTTGAGGATCTTACGTCCCTGTCGAATTCAATTCAGGTTGTTCACTATTACCCAGCTTTTCCATTGAAGTCCATCTGATAGGCTTCTCAATGGAGGGAACGATGTCCTGCTCATACGTAGTGTCGATATCAAGGATCTAAAAATATAACCAAGGCACATTGCATATATGAAAGTCAGATGAGATTTGGCCTTGATGGCACTAGTTATGTCATTTAAGACCAGGTTTGCCAAGTTAAATTTGTGTCCCACCTTGATACAATGCATCCACCAACAGTCGATCTCTCAAACGATGGAATATTTGGTGCCGCAAGGTCGAAGAACACGAGATAAAATCAAGTGGAAGATACGGTCATGAAGATTAAAGTAGCTAACTTTGTTACTAAGAGCATGCATTCCTAAGGGAAGAGACCTTTATCATTACTATCACTAAGGTGGTGTTTGTTTTTGCAGAGGTAAAAGGTCTGTAGTCTGCGGACCACATCTGTAGGCATCTGCAGCAGAAGAGGTTGACCAAAAGTCTGCAGTCTGCAAGAAGAAGACTGTTTGTTTTTTAACGTCTGCAGACGGCTAAAATGAACTGAAATATAAATAAACTGATTTTTTAAACTTAAAAGATTTTTGCAATACTGAGATTTAAATAATTTTAGTTTTACAATACTGAAATTTAAATAATACATACAACTACAATAATAAATTATTTAAAATAAATCAATCCATATTTTAAAATAAATCAATCCATACTAATAAATTATTTAAAATAAATCAATCCATACAACTACAATAATAAATCAATCCATACTAATAAATTATTTAAAATAAATCAATACATACAACTACAATAATAAATCAATCCATATTTTAAAATAAATCAATCCATACAAATAAATTATTTAAAATAAATCAATCCATACTAATAAATTATTTAAAATAAATCAATCCATATTTTAAAATAAATCAATTCATACTAATAAATTATTTAAAATAAATCAATCCATACAACTACAATAATAAATCAATCCATACAACTACAATAATAAATCAATCCATATTTTAAAATAAATCAATCCATACTAATAAATTATTTAAAATAAATCAATCCATACTAATAAATTATTTAAAATAAATCAATCCATACAACTACAATAATAAATCAATCCATATTTTAAAATAAATCAATCCATACTAATAAATTATTTAAAATAAATCAATCCATATTTTAAAATAAATCAATCCATACTAATAAATTATTTAAAATAAATCAATCTATATTTTAAAATAAATCAATTCATACTAATAAATTATTTAAAATAAATTATTTTAAAATAAATCAATGCATATTTTATAATAATTTATTTTAAAGTAAATTATTTTATAATAAATTATTTTATAATAAATTATTTTATAATAAATTATTTTAAAATAAATTATTTTATAATAAATTATTTTAAAATAAATTATTTTATAATAAATTATTTTAAAATAAAATAAATTATTTTAAAATAAATAACCTTATTAAATTATTTAAAATTGTTTTAATAAATAACTATATTTTATATAATTGTTCTTGAAGATGTTTGAAGACCTTTGAAGTCATAAAAACAAGTCTGCACCAAGAAGAGCTCACGCAGACGTTTGAAGAGTTTCTGTCTTCTAAAAAACAAACAGTCTGCGAAGTCTAATGTCTGCGCGTGGTCTGCGCGACGCAGACATAAGTTGTTTGAAGAACTTGCACAGTGAAAACAAACACCACCTAAGAAGAGGTAGATTGAATGATTGGAGGATGAAGTCGACAGTGATGGTAATGAAATGACCCTTTAATGGCTTGGTCGATTGTATCATTCGAGGATTTAGCAAATGAAACATGAACATTCGAGTAGAAAACCTGAACTAATGAAACAAGGGTTTTGGTTAATGGATAAAACTCCTCGCTAGAAATCAAACAATATGGCAGCGTATAATTCTATAATTCATCATAAGTTTCCTATTATGTTATCATAAGGAAAATTCCCACATAAATATCATATACTAACATCATCAAGGCTATATACGTTGTTGTATTTCGTATAGTTATTGTGTTTTTCTTTGACGACTGTTTTTACGATAGAACCAAGTCCGTTCCCGAAGATGTGAAGTTATTGTGCTATATTTTAAAATGAGATCATAAAATATTTTATAATACAAGAAATTATAAAATATCAAAATTTATCATATTATGATTGTTTCTTACAAAATTAAAATTTTTTAAACGTATAAAACTAAAACACTATCACAAAACAATTTTATAATCGTAATATTTTATTTAAAAAGTGTCATTCTCTCGTCCCTCTTAAAAACAAAATGCTGACATTTTTTTAAACTGTGGACCCTCACATTTTTAGACCTGAGCACGAATCTTGAAATTCACTAATGTTTATAGCCGCCTGGTGCGATGGTTGCTTTGAGAATTTACTAACGTTTTTTATTATTTAGCTGTCATAATAGTTTAATTATAGGGTAAAGTATGCAATTGGTCCCTCAGCTATAAGTTATTTCTTTATTGAGTCTCAACTATTAAAGTTACAAAACGATCGTTATAGGGTATTGTTTTATTGAGTCTTATGACTATCAGATGTTGTAAAATGGTCACCCGATTATTAAAAGATTGAAAAAAGTATCAATTGGATGTTAGCATGCTGAGTGTGATATTATAAAATCTGATTCCAAAATCTCAAACGATTATCATTTCTCAATTAACATATTAACGTCTAGCTCAGACTATCATCATTCTTTTAATGAAAAAGGACGAGTTTGCAACATATAAATAGTCTAGTTACCGTTTTGTAACTTTTAATAGTAGAAGGATTTAATAAAGTAATACCCTATAGTCAGGGAATATTTTGTAATTTTTAATCGTTGAGAGACTCAAAAAAATAAGACACTATAGTTGGAGGACCATATATGTACTTTATACCCTTTATTATATTAGTATTGACAATTTCGTCATTGCTGACCAAGCCCTTTCAACAAGTCCATAAAATTTAAGGTTAGCTACACTATTGATCACTTATCTTTTAGTTTTGTTCAATTTTTATCACCGATTTCAAAATACATAAGTTATGATCACTTACGATTTTATTTAATTAAGATATAGTTACTTTCGTTTTTATTTAGTTAAGATGTGGTCACCCAGAGTTAACTGTCGTTAATAACAGTTAAATATTTTTTTGATATAATCACACATTTGGTCCCTGTTATTGCATATTCTCTAAATTTAGTCATACTTTTAATAAGTTAAAATAAATTTAATTATCCAATCGAATGATACCACATGTCATATTAGTAAAGTTGTTCAAAAATACCCGACCCGATTGAGCTGACTCATCAACCCGTTGACCCAGTTAAAAAATATTGGATATTTATAATAAAAATACCCGATTTTTCGGATCGGGTACCTGACTAGGTTTCTAGGTCGAGCATAGGTCACAAAATGTTGGTTAATCGGGTACCCTCTGACCCAGTACCCGATTTATTATATATTTTCATTTTTATTTTATATTAAACTTTTATTCATAATCCTCAAATTATTTCACTCTAACATTTTAAAATTCTAATTTCTTAAATTTTGACACTATAACGTTCTAAATTCTTAATTTCTTAAATTATTTCACATTAACGTTCTTAATTATTTTTAAAATATTTATTTTAACTTCAAAACATTTGAAATTTAATTATATTTATTTATTTTTAAATTTTAATAAATTTTATTTCAATTATGTAATTTTAATTTTTGAACTTTATGTGTAAATTTTAATTTTTAAAATTTTTGATATAGTTTTTAAAAATAATATAATTTAAAGAAAAAATAAAAAATCATGAACAGGGACAAAATATTTTATATTAAATATATAATTTTTTTAAAAATAATATAATTTTTTATATAAAATATTTTTATATTATCTTATTAAATATATTTTACTATTAACTTAATTTAAAAATATTTTGTTTTTATTTTCAATTAAAAATACATAATTTATTTTAATTTTTTAAAAGTATGACTAAATTAAGAAAATATGTTAATTACAAGGACAAAATATGTGAATATATCAAAATATTTAACTGGCTATTAGCTCTGAGTGGCCAAATCTTATTTAAATAAAAACGTAAGTTAAATATGAATTTTGAAATCAGTGACCAAAAGTGTATAAAACTAAAAGATAAGTGACTAACCAGGTAGTTAATCCTAAAATTTATAAAGGCAAATAATTCATTTTCTGTAGAGCAAATTAAACAATAGGCAAACTTTTGAAGCTGAGATCTCAGGAATTCCCCTTCAAGCAATGGCTACTGAGTTTTTGCCTCCTCTATTGGATGCTACTGCACAAGAACCTGCTCTCTTTGATGGAACTACCAGGTTTCACTCTTTTTTTTTGTGCCTAACAGTACTTGCTTGTGTTATAATATTGGAACGATTAACAACGAATGAATTCTGTAGAATAGAAAGAAAGAGGACACCAAAATTTACGTGGAAAACCCTAGAGGGAAAACCCATCGTTTCGATCGTAATTTTATGGCCTGGTTCAAGAAGAAATTGGATCTTATATCAGTTTGCTTGTGTTTATTGCTACATAATAAAAAAGTTGACCCTTTTCTGCTTCCTTGTTTTGAAGGTTGTATATGACTTATACTTGCCCCTTTGCACAGCGTGTGTGGATCACTAGGAATTCCAAGGTTGTATATTTCCCTTGGATTTGTTTTCAATTTTCTTTCTTTTCCCAAATTTCGAGAGTAAATTGTTGTGATTTTGGTTGATTTGCAGGGTTTGCAAGACAAGATTAAGTTGGTCCCTTTGAACCTTCAAAATAGGCCTGCTTGGTATAAGGAAAAAGTTTACCCTGAAAACAAGGTCACTTAGATATCATGTGTTCTGATATATGAATAATTTAAAAAAAAGTTGAAAATGCTGATCCAATATTCTTCTGTTAATTATTTGATTTTCAGGTGCCGGCGTTGGAACATGACGGCAAAGTCATCGGGGACAGTCTCGATTTGATCAAATATGTTGACGGCAACTTTGAAGGGCCATCTCTTCTACCTAATGTAAGATCTGTTGAATCGTTTAGTGGATTTTCTCTCTCTTCATCACAAACCAAGTGATCTCTTGAAATTGTTTTAGGATCCTGACAAGAGGAGGTTTTTTGAGGAGTTGTTATCACTCATGGACAAATTTGCAGGGATGGTATTTACTACCATTAAAGGAGACTCAACAACTGAAGCTGGTTAGTCTGAATGAAACATACTTCTGTTTTACTGAGTGTATCCTGTATTTGCATATGATCTGATATGCCTCAGGTGCTGCTTTTGATCACTTGGAACATGCTCTTACAAAATACGACGGCCTGTTCCTCCTCGGCGACGAGTTTTCTCTGGTAAGTCGGCTCTTCAGAGATCGCTAAACCGCTTTCTCGGTGCTGTAATAACATCATCGCCTGTTTCTCAAAACGATACATGAATGATATTGTCATTTGCAGGCAGACATTGCCTTCATTCCTTTTGTTGAAAGATTCCAGATGTATCTGTCGGAGGTGTTCCAGTACGACGTCACGGAAGGCAGGCCTAAACTGACCGCATGGATTGAGGTATAGTTTAGAGCATATATATATATATATATATATGCACACACATACATATATGTTTTGTCTACCATCATGTATGTTTCTGTTGCTTCAGAAAATGCAGATGAAGATGCTTTAGATACAGCCAATATATAACATGAGCAACATTTCTTCATCTATTTCGATTCTTGGAGTGAGACTTATTATTGTCATAACTTTGTGATGCAGGCGGTGAACAAGATCGATGCGTACGCGCAGACGAAGAAAACCGATCCGAAAGAATTAGTGGAACTTTATAAGAAGATATTCTCAGTACTGTTCTGTTTACACCCTTAACTCAGATTACTAGTATTTTCATCATTGATGATTATGCCGGAGGTTGCTAACTACTGAAACAAATTGTTATTGTTGCAGGCCCAGAAGTGATGAAAGTGCCAACATCATATGACTATATATATATATTAATGAGTGTGAATGGCAATAGCCTCTGTTTGGACTAGTTATTTGTTCTCGGTTGAGAATCTATGTTGTACAAGTATTTGCCGCTATATGAATAAATTTGAAACGCCTGATATCATGGTGTTAAATTTGGTAGTTATAAATACTTAAGCGTAGTCTGGTTGCAAGGTGTGCTATTGTAGCTTAAGCAAGCTTCCACTAGGGGTGCTTATCGAGCGAGTCGTTCACGAGTTGAGTAATATTCGACTTGTGTTCGTTAAAAAAATTTGTTGCTAGACTTGTGCTCATTAAGAAAATTTGTTGTTCGATTCGTTGTTCGTTAAGCTCGTTGCTCGTCTCGTTGCTTGTTAAGCACACCGAATTTTTTATTTTTTTAACTATAAGTAAAATCTGCTAATACCATATAGAACTTAATATAAACATAAATTAATAAATTTAACTAGAAAATTATCAAAAAAGTGTATGAAACAAATTCAAAGTCTAAACATTAAAATAACAATCTATAAATATATTAAAATAATAATTGGAGATTGATTTTTGAGTGTAATAAAATAATAATTACTAATTACTAATTTAGTATTTTTAATTATTTATTAAAAGTTTAATAGATTGGTAATTTTTTAAAACATTTTTAAGTATTTATTCTTTAAAGCGGGAGGTTAATACATTTTTCCGAACACTCTTATTTTCTCCTAATTTTCTAAAGCATTCTCTCTAAAAAAAAAATTCAATTACACTAGATTCAATAAAGTTTCAAGATCCAGTCAAATTTTAACTCAAATAAAAAAGATACATCTATTAAACCCAAATTAATCTGATTAAAAAAATTGTAACAACTTTCGATTAATTCGGAAACTGACCGAATTAGTCGAGTTTTATTTTGTTCGATTAATATTTAAAGAAAAATCGGTTTTGATTGGATCGGTAATTGAATTAACTTTTTAAACGCCCTATATCCAAGGATGATTTGAGGATGAAATAATGGTTAAAAGAACACCAGAAACTAACCTATAGAACATGATTAAAACGGTTTGCTAAGCACCCTATTGTCCCATGATGTTCATGGTTCCAGCACCCCAAATAAAATGGGGTCTTATTGCTATACAGGTCTTCTATCTTCTCCAGTCTAATAAAAAAGAGAGAGGAAGGTCCATACCAATAAAACACAGTTCATCAAGCCTAACATTGTCAAATAGTCTAGACCAGTCGGTGGTAATCAGCAAGAGGATTTGATTTATATCTTGTTCTGCTTGTTTTCTTCTTCACTGTTCATCACATGAATTGCCTTCGGATGCTAGGTCATTGTTTTTCGGTGTTCGTCGCCCAAACTGCCCTTTGATGCGAGGTCGCTGTTCGGCTAGTCGTTTCCTGCTTTGGTACCGAACCTGTAAAAAGCCAAAAGTACTAATAAAAAATCGACTCGATCTCTAGAATTAATCAGCTCCAATTGTTGAAAAAACAAAACCAAACTCGCATCCTGCTATTGATCTTTAATAAACTGGCGAGATGGGCTTATGCTTATGTCAAGTTCTTTTAAGAAATTTGGCTAAGTACGATACACTAACAACCGTGAGTTAACACAAAATATATTTTAGAACAAATTATCATTTTTACATAAGAAATATTTAAATTTCGATCTTTTTGAAAATTTCAAAATATCTACTTAAAATATAATATCATGTCAGTACAAAAAAAAAGGCCATGTTATCCTGCTGTAATTGACTTTAGACCTGAATAATCAGTAATTCAAAATGATTAAATTAAAAAAGTTAAAAAAGTTAATGACCAAAATTGGAGAGAGAAGAAATCTGGAGGATGAAGTTTGTAATATATCCTAATAATAGGTAATATGATTCATCGTCTCTCCCGCGAGCGAGCGATGCCGGGATTATCTGTGGAGAGAGAAAAAGCAGAGCAAATCAATATTAATTATAAACCGAATGATGAGTTGGTTCTCTCAAACACCGAAAACAAACAAATTAGAAACATTCATTCACAGACACAGTTATAGCAAAACAGAACATCGAGTTCGAACATTGTCGAAAGATTTTCTTCCCACAATTTAATATATCTATCTCTCCCGACATCCAAAATCTTAAAACTTTCTGCCGAATTATGTACTGCTCGCTGTTTGGTCTGAGACCAAGTTTATCCATTAAAACAGAGCATTCCCATTTTGGGCACTCGCGATTACCAAAACCAACAAACTGCAAAACTTTACACCCCATGCAGGAGAAAAGCTCGAAAACATTCGACTTGGAACAATGTCGGAAGCCTTTAACCTTCCCTCGCGACAATATCCTTTTTTAAACCTCATACATATATACATACATACATGTTACTTCTTTCTTCGCTCGATTAAGCAGACTTTGTTCTGCTAGAAAATGAAGGATGGGTTGTTTGAGAAATGCAATCACATCACGGTCTTCTGATTTCTCAATTTGAGGGACAAAACGAGAGTTGTATTTGCGGAGTTGAAGAAATGGCAGCAATCGGGGAAGTTAACCTCGCAGCACCCCACGAAGCAAGGTGGAGGTTTCGTGATCGTAGCCACACACTCCCCGATGGTCGAATCGTTTTAACGGTCACGGACGGGTCCGACTGGTGGGAGTTTGAATGCAAGAATGAAAGAGACGATGTGAACTGCATAAGCGGGTCTGAGTGGAGGCGTTTCGCTCGGTCGAGGATGGATGCTTCGGTCACTCTTTATTCCAAAGAGGAGGACGAGGACTTCCACAGAGTCCGAGTGAGGTAGACAGCTTATCTGTCTAAGGGTGTAGGATTGAAGTCTGTCTTCTTTCTTCTTTTGTTTCATGGATGAATAATGTATGTTTCTGTGATTTGAAACTTTGTTTTGTTAAGGCAGCATTCTGCTGCATTGTCAAGGTCATGTAGTCCTTGAGGTCATTGATGAAATGCTTATTGATTCTGTTAAGTCGAACAAATGTTTAAATCTGAATGTCTTCTGTTTAACCCCAAATAAAAACACGAGTATGTATGCATAAGCCTATATCAACAACATCCCTGCAAACACATTGGCGCCACGCAAGACAAGATTCTGAAAATGTTCCAAGTCGAATGTTCTGTAAATGTTTGTAATCTTTTTGTGTTTGCCATCGTGAGAACTAACTAAAAGCTTGACGTTGGACGTTAGAGCTTTCATAATGGCTTCATAAACTTGCTGCCGGTGGTACTACAGGTACAAATTAAAATAATTTCAAACTGTAGTTAATTCTCTAAAAAGAACATGATTACTTCCTGAAATTGTATAGGCTTTCTCCATTTTGTAGCGCCGTCTTCCTTCACTACATCTTTCAACCGTTTTATGCTTCTACCCTTCGATTTTTTCGATTGTATTTTCAGCGGCACCTAGAGCTGCTAATCTGGAATTGTTGATGAATATGTTTGGAGGACTAGGTGCTGGTGGTTGGCATTATTGTTGGTATATGTTTACGAAGGCTTCGGTGTTATTAGAATATGTAATAAAGATGTACTTGAGGGAGATTGACGCACAAGTGCGCAACAAACTAGAGAAAGCCCTGTACAGTTTCTGGAAGTAATCTTCAAGTAACTCAACAAAGCAATATCTTATAGCAACTCACAAACTTATCGAGTCGAGTTGGACTTTGCTTGACTCAACTCGTTAAGGTTTCGAGTCAAGCTCAAGTTCGATTCCAGTCAACCTGAGTCGAACATTTACTGAATTGGATTCGAATAGCTCATGAGTTGCTCAACTCATTACGTACCCCTGATATTAAGTATAATTTACTCAATTCGTACACTCTTTAAAATTCAAATCTAAATTTTGACTATTAAAAAGAATCCAATATTTCAATGACTACTTACAAAATTATGCAACAAATCTTTACAAAAAAACAATACATGAATATTCAAAGATGAAGGAGAATGAAATGGAAACTCAATTTAACGGATAGCAGGCAATCATAGCAATACTAGACCGCTATTTCACTAATTTTCTGTTATTTTAATTGTTTTTTTTTAAAATTCAGTTTTTCTATGAAAAAATCATCTCGTTTGGAAAATATTTACGACTGTGATACCCATAATGATTGCAATAACATTCATTATATCTGCAACCATAATAAATGCCACCCAATCGAAATGCGACCGCAATCGTAATTTAAATCTCTATTTTACTGTAGCTTATATTATGGTTAAATCTTGGAAATATGAAATATGTTGAACTGCATTCATCCTAACCTGTTGCATGTTGTCTGCCATTGATTTTTGCCTCACCCTTTAACAAGAAAACCCGACTAAAAAAGAAATAAATTCGACGGTCCATTTCACAAGAAAATGAGTTCAGCTTCCACTAAGAGAGAGCAGCCCCTACAGAACAGTGTTCAATGTCTCAATGTTGTGTACGAACCAATTCATGTCGTTTTCTCGTCGATTTAGCTACATAGATATCACATAATACAACTAATAATCTGATGATCTAATAAGATGAGACACACAAATATATAAGTATGGTGGGATTCGAATCTTAGTGTTAGCATATAAGGTAAATTAGGTCGAGAGAATCGTCCTTATAATGAATATATAAAATGCTTAATCTAAATTAATCGATCGATACATTAAATATCAATAATTAATTAAAAAAATTGTACCACATAATAGCTCCAAAATTCGTAGGGCCTGTGTTTTCTCTTTTGTTGCACGAGTACACCCGTGTACTGGGCCAGACTACAAAGCAACTTTTACTTCAAATTTTGGATTTGATTTTACTCCATCAAATAATATATAAGGTAAAATACACAAATAGTCATCCGATTATAGGATACTACTTTATTAAGTCCCTCAACTATTAAAAGTTATAGAATGATCATTCGATAATAGAATATTACTTTATTAAGTCCCTCGACTATTCAAAGTTACAAGATGGTCCTTCGACTATAGAATGTTGATTTATGAAGTCTCTCGACTATTAAAAGTTACAAAATGGTCACAAGAATATTCATCATATTTCAAACTCGTGCTTTTTCCGTTAAAAAATTGACAGTTGCCTAAGTTGGACGTTAACATGATGGCCTAAATATGATAGTCATTTGAAACTTTGGGATCAGATTTTATCATATCACAGTCAGTAGGT